CTAGCAAAGACCGTTTGATGGAGCTAGTAATAGTACTAGCTCTATAGTCCGAGCCGACGCAGACCCCAGTAATGGGGGTGATGATAAACCCCCACCCTCAGATTAGAAAAGCGGAGTTATAACGTCTGCATTTGCGGACTACTAGCTCTAGTACTATACTATATAGTATTAGTACTAGTAGTAGTAGCTCTGGTACTATAGTAGTAACTAGTAGTAGGAGTACTAGTAGTATAGTAGTCTAGTAGTACTAGTACTAGTAGTAGTAACTAGTACTAGTAGTAGTAGTAGTAGTACTGGGGGGGGGAGGGTAGTAGGTAAGTATAGGTACTATAGTAGTAGGTACTAGGTATAGTAGACTAGTTCTATGAATATGAAGGAATGCAATAATAACACTGGTCATTTCACCTCTAAAGGACAAACGGCAACTGAATGAAGTTATTTACGGGTAAAACTCACGACGTGATGGTAGTGATGGTGTGTTTATAGCGTAGTGGCGCCATCTATCGAACGGCATATGTGCTAGACTGACGTTCGTACGGGCCGTATACCGGTCATGTATAATCACGGGAAATTTGCCCAGGCACAGAGCTCGGCTCGCTGCATGGTAGGCGCGCGTGACGAGACACGTCTCGGTGATGGCAGTCGCCGTGGGCGTGTCTCGACGAAAAATGTTTAAATTCGGTTTTTTACAGAAAACAAAGCACGCCGAGTAGCCAAAAATTTTGTACGAGCATCTCTAGCAAATGTCTAGCTACCTGGGTAGTGAAAGCCGTCCTGCAATGGCCACAACTGCTGTACACACCGATTATATATGGCTTTCGTGTATACCCAAAGGGACCCTTTTAAGGTGTTGGAAAGAGTGCAGCGAAGTTGTGTAAGTGTGCCGCTACGCAGCGTTTTTTTGCGCTTCGCGCGGATATCCGGGCTGCCAATTGTCTAGATACGACCCTTTTCAAGATCACTTGGGTTCAAGGATAGAGATGATGTCCAGATTGAGACCTATGTCATTTTCGTAAATGGGGGGGTCCCGGGTAGGCCCTTTAAAATCGACAGGGGTGTTCTTGAAGGTGTTAATTGTTTGTTCATTTCCACCCAGAAACATTATGTCACTTTACAGGAAGTGTGGAAAAACTGCGTTTAAGCGACACTACTCGCCCGTTTCCGACTTTTTCTCACCATTGCTACACGCGATAATTTCCCGTGATGTTCCTGTGCTGCGGCCCTGAAATGTACGTGCGTATTAGCCTGGTTGGGTTAGGGTTTAGCAGCATAGCAATACATAGCATAGCGATATTTAGATACAATAATGTAACCCAAACCCAGGATATAGGGTTACAACGCGGGCTACGGTTTTCTGTGGAGGAAATTCAGGCTAATGCTCCATTAGGAGTGTTCCCAACTTTGATATCATTATAATGATTAATGATTAATGATTGATAATCCTAATCCTACCCCTAACCCTAACCCAAATGACGTTAAACCACAAACTAATATATGACCAATATATATATATATGGTTATTATGACCATTAATGACATTAAAGAGACTAGGTATGCGTTCAGACCTCAGACCCATCGAAGTGTATTGTGGATAAATGAGGAGCACTCTAAACTGACCAGGCTCTCCGACTGTTACACGGCGGAGGACGTAGTGTTATTAGCGAGATGGGAACTTGTGGCTAGGAACACTCCTAATGGAGTATGACCCGAAATTCAGGGAACCCCTGAGTGAATCACTCAGGGCGGTTTGCTGGTGCGTTTTCAGAGACTAGAACTTCCAAACTGGGTTTATTCTCAACACGAACCTTTCTCCGCTATCTTGGAACTTACTATGTATCACAATACTCTGTATTAAACTAATATAACCTGTTACAAAAATTCGAAGTGACGAGCGGCGAATATACTGAGCGCCATTTCTGT